CTCAGGTGATCCACCTGCCTTGGCCTCCAAAGTGCTTGGATTACAGGCGTGAGCCACCATGCTTGGCCCAATTTATCAATTTATACCCCATTAACAAATGTATGAGAGTCCTGAATACTCCACATTCCTCAGGTTTGGCATTCACTTGCTTTTTTCTCCACACCCCTACCCCTACCTTTGTTTTAGCCATTCTAGTGGGCGAGAACTCGTATCTCATGCAGTTTTAATTTGAAGTTCCCTGATGAACAATTCAGTTGCACTCTTTTTGAAGTGTTTATTGTTGACTGGGATATTCTCACATGAGAAGTGAAGTATAGACCCTTTTAATAGCCCCTGTTTGCTACTGACTTATCAACCCTTTATTGAAAGCCCCACTGTCGTGGTGAGGCTCCAGGTAATTCCAAGGCAAGCTTTCTGCTTGGGCTAGGGGAGAACGATCTCTCAAAAACACCTTTGTGCAGTCCATTGAAGCCTTACACTGGATGGCACCAACGAGGCAGCAAGGGATAATCTTTATCCCTCCAAAGCCCAAAACCCTAGAGAGACTTTTCCAAGAGGTGGAGAGAACGACTGCGGGGCTTTTCATCCAAAAAGAACTCCTGAGTCCGAAAGCAGTGCAATGGCGGGAGCTCGGCTCATTACAACCTCCGCCTCCTGGGTTCAAGCGATTCTCCTGCCTCAGCTTCCCAAGTAGCTGGGACTACAGGCACCCACCATCACGCCCAGCTAATTTTTGTATTTTTTTTTTTTAAAACGGGGTTTCACCATGTTGGTCAGGCTGGTCTTGAACTCCCGACCTCAGGTGATCCGCCCGCCGTGGCCTCCAAAGTCCTTGGATTACAGGCGTGAGCCACCACGCCTGGCCTAATTTTTGTATTTTTAGAAGAGACCGGAGTTCACCATATTGGCCAGGCTGGTCTCGAACTCCTAACCTACAGTCATCCACCCTCCTCCGCCTCCAAAAGTGCTAGGATTACAGGTGCGAGGCACCGCGCGCGGCCTCAAAGGACTCTCTGCCCCATCTCACCCAGGCCTTCCCAGCCCTACGGCGCGCTGGCGGCGACATCCGGGGCACCGCCGCCCTGCCGGGGTCGGAGGGCGGGGGGTGAGGGGCGAGGGGCTACGGTATCTCTTAAGGCAGAAATGTTCGCACCGTCCTAACAGCGGCACCAAGCGTGGTGGGGCCCGGCTCTGTTTCCCCTTAAAGGCTCCCCAGCCCCGCCCTGGTCCCAGGACGATGCCGGAGGGCGCGCCCTGAGGGACCCCAGCAGCAGCCCGGGCCGGACTCTGGAGGGAAGGTGAGAGCCCGAGGGGGCCGGCGACCCCGACCGCGAGCGGGAGCGTCGCTTGCAGCGCGGGCGGGTGCTTGTCGTGCTGACGGAGGGCGCCCGAAGAGCCGAGTCGCGTTTTGCGACCACACGGGACCGGAGCCGGACCCAAGGCTGTTCGAGGCGGTTCGTCGGTCCCGCTGGCTGCGGGCGCGGCGCCCGGGCGGCGCGTGGGTGAGCGAAGCCGCGGGGCCCGACCGCAGTCGCGCGCGGGTTTCGGGGGGCGGGTGCCCCGCGTGCTCCCTGCGTTGGAGGGCCGGGGGCCCTAGTCACCTTTGTCCTTGGAGCCGTGTCTGAGGATGCGGCGAACGCCCCTCGGTGAACTTGCCCTTCTTATCCTCGGGCGCC